TGTAACTTTTAAAACAAAACATGTAAAGAGACAGAATAAAAATTTCTCTGTTATTGGCTTGAAATATAATTCTGAGTGCTTTCAGTTTAAAATTCTGATTTTAATATGAAATCAACTGGTCAATGAATATTAGAGTATTATACTCTTTCTAATGTATCTTTAGTAAAATGAAAAAAAAACTTCCTATAATAGTGTTTCAGAGTAAACCTGATACTTAAAATACTTCACAAGGGCACTCTCTTACCTAAGGGAGTTTATTTTATGTTTCTTATATTAACAACAAAAAGGAGGGAGGAATTTAAAATGGGGACTAAAATGACAAAAAGCCTAAATATAAAATTGTTAACCAACTGAAGTATCTTTTAGATACCTGCAATAAAACATGGAATTTAGCTGTGTATACTGCCACCTACAATTCACTGAAATATACATTCTTCTCAGATAAAAGAAAGAAATTCATAAATGTTCCTGAACACAATCAAAATTCAGCAGGGACTGTGTGACCCTCAGCAACTAAGACAACAGCACCATATTAAAAAGATGTCCTTAAATGCCGTGGCCTTTTCTTTTTTTATCCATTTTAAATTATTTCATAATTATTAAAGTTGAAATAAAACGCTAGCCACAACATTTCTGCCTTTACACGTAAACTCTTCTTCATATGTGGGCAAAACTTAAAACCACAGAAATAAATAGAGGAGTTCTTGTTACAGTCTATGATCTATGAATCAGATCTCATGCTCCCATGCATGTCCTTATTTTAAACATAAAAATATTACATAAGTTATGAGAATGCCAGCTACACCCAAACTATGAACTTTAAGGGGGAAGAAGAGGTGCAGTTTTTTAAAGGGGCATTCATTTTAAAACTGGAAATAAATTTTCCCATCTCAGCAGAGCTTAATTCAGATGTGCTACTAAAAAGAATCATGATTTTAAAAAATAAGGTTTTTAAAACAAATGAATCATACGTTCTAGACTGACATCTACTCACTTTCTGCCTTTCCAAGATAAATTCTAGAAAAAAATAGATAAGGAACAATATACTAAAATTCAGAAATAAATGCAGAAACAGAATACTTTAGAAAAATTCTAATGTGAATTACAGTAGTAAATAAATAATCATAAAACAACCAGTAACTTTATCTTTCCAATCAGAACAGACTGTCAAAGCGATATATCTATGCATGTTAGAAACATCTCAGCACTCCAAAAGCATTCTCCACTTGGAATCTGGAAAACAGGGTACTATTTAAGGAATCACCAACCAGGAGAAGCCTCTTCCTAGAGTTTCTGGAATCTCAACACCAAAAATGGGGATTTTTTTTTTTTAATCCTGTTAATGAAGAATACATAGAAAGGCAAACAATCTTAATTCCCCGTCTTCCCGCACCAATGTCAAAGGGACTCACCTTGCAATAACAGAGATGCCCCAAACTTTCAAGTCTGGATTTCCCCTGCCAGCATCTCCATCTGTTGCCACCATCCGAGGTCGACAGAGGCTACATGGGAGTGGCTCCCATGAGAGGGTGACGGCTCTTCATTTAAGCGTCTGGCAGCGCGGGAAAGCTCTCGAGCTCTGCTGTCCCTCAGGTATTTCTGGGGAATTTCTGTCTGCCTTCTGGAGTAGACCTGGACAACAGAACGTTAGGCCCTTTAAGAAACTTCACTGAAGTTACACAAATATTTGATATGTGAAAGGATTTCAGTCTAAAATGGAACTGGAGGTTATGAAATGGAGACTCACGAACATGCCCTCAGAAAAAACGAACTTAGTACCGAGAGACTGATTTCCCGCAAACGCCTGATTTACGTAAGGCTGAAACTTATCTCTGGACCAATGAATAGCCGCCATCAATCCTTCTCCATCCGCAAGCCAATGAACTTACTGCTTAGACTCTGGCTGGACTCGCGCCCTCTGCACTCTTGCATGTAAATACATCCCGCTCCAGACCCTCAAGGGACTGCCCATAGGTTACTGCAGTCTGTGTTTCCCGAATTGTAATTCCTCCCACTATCCCCGAATAAACTGAAATTTCTGGTAATTCAAGCTTGCCTCAGTTTACCTCTTCATGTAGGCTGACATACTATTTTGGGATCTAGTTATCTTCTGTTTTATGTTTTGAATTAATGCTCAAATCTGTCTGGAGATCATTTTTATATATCGTGCAAGATGAAAAAGGAAACGTTTTCTTTCACAACAGACATGGAACTTCTGTATTGTAAGTCAAGCGAGCTTCCACGTACAGTACCATTCAACTTTGATCTGTCCTGTTTCACTGATATGTTTAGATATTTTCTTATGCCAAAAGCATCTTTTTCACTACCGTGCCCTTTTTTTCTTACGTATATGAACCTGTGTATGTACTTCCTATTTACACTTAAACCCTTTCATTCTGGTCAAATACTTAACGGTTTTATTAGCCTGTGAAAAACCTTTCGGATTACTTTTAAACCTGCATGCATAAAATAATTACTAACCTAATTACAGAATTATTTCTGAACTCCATAATATCCATACCACAAACAATACAGGTGTTTCAGTTATGGAAAAAGAAAGCTGAGGAATAAGAAAAGAAAATACATATACACACTATGGTGATCAACAGCCCTTTTCTGAACTGACATTCCTTCATTTCAGGACACTGAAGAACAGAAAACTAGAAGCAAGGCAGTGTCCCCTCTGGCTTAAAACTCAGACCATTGCTTTGAATCCATCAAGTCAATCAACCTTTCTTTTTAACTTAACCCTGAAACACTTTTAAATTACAGTGTCTCCTGATTCTACCTAAGACACCTAATGTCCTCCCATCTCAGCCATATTTACTCTTAACATCTAACATTCTAATCACAGAGGACTCCTTAGCTTGTCATCCTGACCTTATAAAAGGAATAAAACAATTCAGAATCCTGGACATTGCACTTACTCTATTCATAGTTACACAATCAACATAGTATATATGAAATAAGATGAAAATTATAAGTCAAAGAACATTATAAGATGACATATTACTTTTGAGGAGTAGTTGTCTAGAAAGAGAAGGAATGCATTTCATGAGTTGTAAATGGGATGAAGTGTTTTGAACACATTTGTAATGTACAGTGGATTTTCCACTTTAAGCAAGGTTTCTTTGAAATAATCAACTGTAAAAGACCTTTCTCAAATACAGATTATTAAAAAATATAGCTAGTGGAATTGAGTATAATATCTCAGAAATATTTTTTAAGATGAATAACAGTATAAAGTTAAAAGGTCAAGCATTCATTCATTTAGTCAGCACATCTTTATGTTAAGAACTGGTTATACAGCCAACAAATCTATCAAAAATGTGACCATTCAGCTGAATGTTTGTTAGGTTCCTTGGGCTTAAGCAATACTTCTCTCCATTATCCTACCTGGCCGAAGGAAAATACATTCTTGTTAAATTAGATTCTTGGTTAGGTAGTCGAACCAAACAAGATTTTTAAAATATTTTGAGAAAATCAGCCATTAACAGTTCACCATTAAAGCAGAAGCAGCAGCCAAGATTCTCAAATACATATGCTAATGAACAAGCAATAATATTAGGTTTTATCATAATTCTAAGGCTGAACGCTGGCTGTTAGCCCAACCCATACCAAAAGCATTGCTCAGGTGTGAAGGCTAAATGAGAATCTCTGCCATCTATGCCGACCTTAAATTTGGCCAAGTTCTTGCGAGTGGGGCCGGGGAGGAATAAATCCAAAGAAACGAAATTGAAGCCGCCTGGCTTCATAGATTTAAGTAGCTGGATCCAAAGTCAGGATATTGGCCTGTAGTTGAAAAGCTCGATGTGCTGTTTTTATGATCTCAATAGAAAAGCTTTTTGCTATCACTGTTTCCAGTTCTTTACTGTGCATGTACCTCTAACCTGCTTCAGATATTTCTTTGTACTAATCTGTAGCATTCTCACCTTTAAAATTGTGACAGAAACTGCCCTTTTCTAGAAATCTTTGCTTAATTAAATGATTTCATTCTAGTCTTTTCTGTACTCCCCATGTACTCAGCATTCACAGCCATTCTATGTTTAAATGTATTCTCCATGCTGTTTAATGAAGTAATTTAAACATTTTATGCATATTCTTTACTTATCAAATTGCACATGAATCCTAGAGAAATATATCCACGATTTACATTTATTTTCCATTCTTTCAGTATCCCTCTGGCTGTGCTGCTATCACACCAGCACCAATGCATGTTTTTGTTTCTTAAGGTGTAAGAAGTTACTGAGGAGAACACTAATAGCAGTGCTAGACAGAAATATAACAAAGAGGAGAATGCTGAAGAGAGAGTTAAATACGATTGAGGCTTGAGGCTCAGAATGGGTCATTGTAATAAATTCACTCTATTCTAAGTGATTTTTCACCAATTTGTTTTTAATCTGGAGAGTTTCTAGTACTCTTCGGCAGGAATATAGGAGTCGGTATTAAGACTTTACACCAAGGAATTGGAGGGAAATAGTGAATATATCAAATAAGAGTCCTTTAATCCTAAAATTTTGATACATATAGAAATTAAAAAAATAGTATTTTACAATGAAAGAGCCATATTTTATCAAAGTGATTTTTAAGTCTACACATGTCTTATCACAGAGATTAAAACAGAAAATTTAAACTTATCTCAAAGAAAAGAAGTATTAAAACAACACAAAGAAAAACTCAGTATTGATTTTTATGTTTTGATGCTTATTTAAAATTTAATTAGTTTTGTCTTATTCATTTACTGTTTCCATTCTCTTTGAAATTATAATTTCCTGCAAAATAAGGCCAATACAAAATTGTCCTCAAAGTAAATAGTTTGCGTTTTGTGAAGAAAATAAAACCACCAGGAAAATCAATACGTATTATTGTCAATAAATATCTTATTTAAGGATTACTTCAATCAAAACATCTTGCTATAATAATAGATAATATTTATTGAAACTCTAGTATGGGCTGAGAATTTTACATATATCGGGTCAGTTTAAGCCTCCCAATGACTCAACAAGATCAGATGTATCATCATATTTTAACAGATGTTTAGAGTGTTTAACACACTTTGACAGAGTTTCAAAGGATTTAACTAACTGGGCCAAGTTCAAATATCTGGAGAAGCAGGGATCTGAGCCCAATTTGGTTTAATCCTTCATAATTTACTGTGTCATCACCGCCACAATTGGGTGCTTTCAGAAATGAGTAAGATCTAGAACCTACCTTATAGGGCCCACATTCCATATATTCTAAATTACTGAGCACACTTTTAGAAGAAATATATTTTCCTTCCATCAGTACTTATTACCAAAATAATAATACAAATATTTTACTTACAGTGAGTAAATAAGATTCCACATTCATCTTCCTGTGGTTAATTCTTTCCATATTTAAAATTATTTTTAAGTCATTTCCTTTCATTTCCTGCTGGCAAAAGATTGTCAAATAAATTTAATTGTTTAATTTTCAGAAATTTTATATTAAAATAATCTTTTCTGAGCAACAATGATGGAATAAAATAATAGTTGCAATTTTGGTTAACAAAACACAATTTCCCTTTTAAAGACCAGTTTGGAAGCACACACAAAAAACACAAAAACCCACTAATATTTGCATTGTATAAAATGGATACACTTAGTTTTTCCTAGCTTTTAAGAAACTCTAATAAACTATACGAACAAGGCAATACTTTTTGGCCCATTGATCAACAGGGTGTTTTTCAGGACTGGATGAAGCAGAGGTGTCTCCTTTCAGCATGTTTCTTTTAGCAATTTCCATTTCCAGTCAGTAAAATCTGTGATTCCTATGCCAGGCACTTCTGCATGAGAAAGAGACGGATGTTTGTAATCTGTTTCACTTGTAGGAAAACATATTCCAAGTTTGGTTTCCTCGCAAAACCTCAAAAAAAAAATTCTCAAATATATTTATGAATTCTTCCATGGCTCAACTCAGTGACGTAACAGCCATTCTACTAGCATAAATCCAGTACCCGTGTTGGTACAAAATCTACATGAATTCCATTTTTAATCTTTAATTCATTTTTTTCTTTTAGTCAATCCAATCATATAGACTAGAGAAACATCATGGTATAGTACCCGAGCCTCAGCCTGAGCACCAGAAGGCCTGGATTTGAATTTTCTCTTAGTTTGGTGAGTTACTTAAATTCTGAACATCTTCAGTATCCTTATGTATAATGTTGGTATGATAATACCTATAGACATGAGGAAAAATATTATAATGTAGCTAAGAATGCTTGGCATACCTTGGCTGTTTAAAAACTATTAATCACTTTCACCTAAAAAAAAACTCAAGAAATTGCAATAAAATAAAGCTTTTTACAGCATAGCATTGCCAAACCCGTTTAGATAGGATAGCATGAAAATCAAGTTTCTTACACAAAGAGTTATACTAACCAGACAGTCAAACTGCAAGTTTCTTATAGAAGGAGTTCTACTACTAACCAGCCAGTCAAACTGAGATACTTTTTTAAACTGAAGTTTCTATTTTACTATTTGTTCTGTTTACTATTGTAATTCTAATAACTAATGTAATTTTCAAGCTATGTTTGATATTCTTTCCCTGGTGTCTGTCTGCAATAACATTTTTAAATCTTTCAAAATATAGCCGTATGACTTGTAACCCCAATTACAATTTGAGTAATCTCATTCTGTATTCACAAAATCAAGGGGCTTCCCCTTAAGAAAACAATTCATACTTGCCAGACAAACACTAGCATTATGCTAACTGTATCACCATCAAATAAGAAGAAAACCCACTGGGAAATAAAAAAGAGAGAATTCTAGACACCTTTTCTCTTATATAGACTTAATCAGGGCTTGCAATTAATTTTTGAAATTGTTTTATATCGACCTTAATGTTTAAAGCTTCATTGCTACCTCTGAGCCCCATCAGTAAAACCCACACATCATCCCTGTTAGCAAAGCAGCTGGCTTTTTAAATGTGATGTCTTGTAGTTCTTACTTACAATCCTAATCACATCATTGATTTCAGTAATCTTCAGGAAGAGTAATTATTAATGCTGTCAAAAGCAGAGGCTGGGATTCAATTTTTTTCCTTTTCTTTTTTTTTTTTTTTATAAACCTGGATAATTAAGATTAAGCCTAATAATGTGACTCTAGAGGCCTCCAGGTAATTAGAAGTTTCCTATGGTTGAGTATGTATAATACAGCAAAGACACTGTCTTCACTTAAAATTCTTCACACATCCCAAATACTTAGTTACATAAGCCACAAATGGTTAAATAAAAATGCTAGACGTAGCCACTCACCATAACTTGATTTTTTTTCAGACTCAACAAACAAGCACCACACAAAATTTTACCTGATTGATTTTTTTCTGTAATTTGAGACAGCCGTAAGATCTATTTTGTCTCCTAATGCCAAAAAGACTAAGGCACATGACCTTTCTTTCTAGTGTCTTTAACACACTAAGGAATTAAACAATTTTCTGGGGAAAAAAAAAACACGATAAGCCAATATGAAGAGGATAAGAGACATTTTGGAGAAATCAGATTTTTCTATAATCAAAGCAATTTAAAAAAGAAAGCAGGTAAGATGAGGTAATGCATTTTGATTTTCAGAAAGAGAGATCATGATGTAATAAAGATTGTCATTCTAAAGCAGAACCCTATTTACATTCTGAAAGAAGTTGTGAAACATAAGTTTCCAAAGGACTACGTATTTATCACCAAAAGACATAATATGTGAAGGAGCTGACAGAACGTTAGTGTGCTCAATGTTGATCACCCCCCTGTACTCAGGAAAGTATACATACATTTGGAACCACTGTCAAACACCATTGCCTAATTTGAAAATATTCCTAGACTTCTTATTGATCAATATCTCTTATAGAAAGGATAAGAGTATAGCATCTGGACTGAAATAGTATTATTAGAAAAAATGATATCATGAGCATTAGGATGTATAATTCATGTTGCTTTCATTGGCTCAGACCATTGTAAAAATCCATAAATCATTTTCTTGTTCATATATTGCTTAAGTGCAATTTGTCATTCTGCATTAGAGGGCTGCTTCAGCTCATCAGTGCTTTTAATTCACTGTTTAACAAAATGCTGGCTCTGTCTGATAACTGAAAAGACACTGAAATGTGAAGCCACACCAATATTAACAAGGTTAAATAAAATGAAGAAGAACATTTCCACTTTGAATATCAAGTAACACTTAATAGCTAGTATTCTCAGTCCCCAAAACATGGATTGGTTTGTTCTCTATTGACTTCAAAGCATTAGAACACAGTAACTAAAGAGTTACCTGAATGCTGATAACAGCATGTATATGCTATAAATCTTTTCCAGAAACTCTAGTCAACACTCACTCTAGTCAACTGTAAATGAACAAAAATTAACAGTGTTTGTGGCACTGGCTCCAAAGCCTTGCCTTCCCACCTCTTAAGCTAGGTTACACTACTTACAGATAAACTGATTTCATGGTTACCCATTAGAGATGCAATACAGTCCAGGTCCTTTGCGTTTACTCTGGGCACTGTGCTTGCTGGGGACGTCAAGTGCCAGGAACCATCTAGCTCAACCCTGGTGGGACTTGGCGTTTGAAAGACTCCTTATTGACAATTTAAAATTTTTTTCTTCCATTTCTTAAAAAAAAAAAAAAAGAAAAGAAAAGAAAACCAAAGCTCTGGGCACACTGCAATAATAAGAGGATTTAGAAACAAATTGCTTTCAAGTCAAGTTAAATCACTGCAAACACTCATTTATCCAAACCCTGGTTAACAAACTTGTTTCCCTCCCACCTTTTCCAGAAAAGGGTAGGGAAGAAAGCAACCCGGTTAGCTAGTTTCAAAGTTTGCAACCATCTATATAAAACGAGTTTATGAGATCCTTGGTACCCCCCACCCCACTTCTGCTGCCCTTAGAGGACAATGAAATAGACGAGGGTGCATTAACACTCACACACCAACCAGGAGTTTTATGAAAATTGATTTTGATAATCTCTCTTCAAATATTAGCTACTTCCCTCCTCTGTTTTAGGATATAATTTGTTTGGGCCCAGGCGGTTGGCGCTCTTGGTGAGGGCTTGGGGTGAGAGGGTTATGTTGCTACGTTTTGTTTAGTTTCTCCCTGCAGGTTTCAATAAAGGTGGTGGCGGCGAGGTCAACGGATGCTGCATTACACGATATTCTGCACTTCAAAGCGGTCGTCAACTCCATCACCGAGGCTGTTAGTTATGTAATCACGGCCTCACTAAATTCTGGGGTTCACTGAAGGGAGACTGAAAAATAAAAAGGGGAAGGGAAAAAAATCTAGATTGATACAGCAAGGAAGAAAGTACAGCGGTTACACTGAAGAGGCACTTTTAAAGGGCAAATTTAAAGTGTTGTTTTGTTTTGTGGGTGACGGGGTGGGGCTATCAAATGATTCCAGAGTAAGGAGGCAGAGAAGGTTGTTAATGCCAATATCTGAATCTCGGCCCAGGACAGAATGCTCTTGCCATTGCCCTTGGCTGGAGATACTAAAAGGCAGGCGGACGGCCAGGCTCGTATCTATTCTCCCAGGCAGAAGACCCCGTTGTCACCGCGCCGATACCAGGGCGCCTTGGAGACTAGAAGTCAGAGAGGCGAGACCTCTAGAGGACCCCGGCCGGCGTCGCCGGCGCGGATGCCGGCCTCTGCGACCTAGGAAATCCTGCAGAGCCCCCAACAGGCGAGCCCTGCCGAAAGAGCTCCAAAGCAAAATTCTCTGGCTTGCCCTGTGCCGCTTTCGCCGCTAGGAGACGCCTATAACCCACGTTTGTGGAGAGAGTTCCTCTTCCAAACACAACTGCTATTAAAAAAAAAAAAAAAGAAAGAAAAAAAAAGAAAGCAGCTCAAGTGTTACAGTGGATCAGTGGATGTAGTGATTATTTACAGGCAAATCTGGTCATCTCTCCACGTTCTCATCTCCACCTCTGGAAGTTCTCTGGCTCTCAGCGAACGTCCAAAGTGCTCAAACTTCATCAATATTTTGAGAGCACAAACCCTCTCCCCCAAACAATTTCTGGATCTGCATTGTCATTCAGCCGCATGTCTCTCACACGCAAACACGCGCGCACACGCGAGCGCACACAAGTGTTTCCGTACGTACAAATCAAACATTAGAAAATTACCGTCATTTAAAAATATGCTCCAAGATTCTGATGAGTCAGCTTGAAGACCTCAAAACATTTCATTTCAATCCTGCGGATCTAAAGAAAAATATGGGAGGGGGATGGGAGGAGTATAAAGTACAGATGCAATGCTGTTATTAATATTCAGATACACTATAATCTCTTTTTCATTGATCCACAGGTCCTTTTATAAACTGCCGTTCCATTCTCAGCCGCAGACGTGATGCTAAAATCATTTTAACTGCAGCGGTTTTCGCTCGGCTTTGGCCAGTCTTCAATTTAATGCAGCTGGAAAAGGATTAGCCATTTTTGCTGGCATCCTTCCCTTCTAACCGCTCAAAGGCAGGACCCATCTCCATGAAAGAGCCAAGGGGGCGGGGGGCTAGGGCAGTAGACACGCAGTCGCGGGACTCGCAGGGACATGCCTCAGTCTACAATCAAACCCAAGGCCACTCGCCCTCCTTAATTCCCTGCCAGGAAGGAATGGCAACGTACCTTGGGATCGGGGAAACGACTCTTCTTTTCCTGCAGGTTGTGACGGTGTTACTCACAGGTCATTCATTCAGGAAGCCCCAAGGGACCTTCTTATCTTGTGGCGTAAAAAGGAAACTGAACAAGGGGTGGTTTGGTTGAATAAACAACCTTCTACAGCCCATTAATTAACATAAAATTATGTTTAAAAAAACATTTTCTCGGAGAATTAACATTCAATCCACTCTTCAGCATTGAAGAGTTCGCGCTGTATTTTAACTTCATAAAAACTGGGTGCTTAGATGCGCCGCTTTCCCCCGGCGCCTCGGGAGTGAGCACTCAGCTCGTCAAGCGCATCCTTCGGGACCCAGAAGGGTATGTGGGAGGTGCTCGGTTGGGGCTTACACAGAGCGGTGCGCTGGACCAGGGAGGTTAGATACCAGCACTGTGAATGTGCAAGCGCGTTTGCAGATACCCGCAGCGGCACACACTCGAACCCCGCGTGTGCACGGCCCCTGGCCACGCACCACCCCCAACCCCGCCCCCGCCCGCATTCCCGGCCGCCTAGCTGTCCTCATCCAGCGGTCTTGACCCAAGCTGGGCAAGAATCGGTGCACCGGCCTAGTTTAGGGCGCGGGGGCGGCGGGGGGGGGGGAGGTCCTCCAACTGTCAGAAAAAGCAGAAAAAAGCCTGTGCGCGCCGCCGCTGCGCCGCGCTTGGCCGAATGAGGCGCAGAGATATTCCAGGCGCCTTGCGGCTCCCGGCGGAGCTCAGTGCCCGATGCCCGCGAGTCGGACGTTGAGCGGGTGGGCTTGAAGGCAGAGCTCTAATGAAACTCCTCAGTCATTGATCAAAGCGCTCACAGCTCAAACCAGGTCCCCAGGCAAATTAATCTATTTGGTAAGAATATTGTGGATATACGTTTAAAGGGAAAACGCAAGCCTAACACGACTGCACGTCTATAGGAGGTGCCAGCCCTCATCCCTGGGCGTGAATCCCCCGGCTTTTCAGGACCAATCTCCGCCCCATACTCCAACTGCTTCACCCCTTTCCACACGGCGCTTTCAGACCCTCACACTTAGTTTGACACGGGCCGTGTTATGTCTGTTTTTCAAATGTCCTGCCAATCTCGCCAGAGTCCCTTAATTAGTAACCTTTGCCAATTAGTGGCCCCTCTGCAACTTTTTCCTGTTTTCGGTGACTTACTTCCAAGATCAGTAGCAAGGAAAATACCTTAAAGGAAAAAGAATGTTAGCGTCATTGGAAACCCCGCTCCTGGGAGACGATACCGCTGCTGCTATTATGTTTTCGCATTTGCTGATGCAAACAGGGGAACCTCTTTATTCCCTTTCCATTACCTGCTGCTGGGGACTGGGAACTTTCCGCGGCAGAGTCCCCAGCTAGCGCCTCGGGACCTGCCGGGCTGTTCTCGCTCTCACACTCACACTCACCCAGGCAGCCGGGGCGCGGGTTCTATCCCGCCCGGCCCGGCTGCCTAGTGACGCGCCTGCTTGACGGCCAGTTTGGCCAATTAGCGGCGGCTCGGTGGGTGGTGCTCCTCAGCGATTGGTTGGCAGAATGAGGGCGCTGCGCAAAAACAGAGAAGCGAGGCGCTCGGAGCTCAGAAACTGCCAGCCGAGATCACAGTCTCTACGGCTGAGGCAGAGGAGGGAAGGACTGAAAGGAAGAGAGACAGGTTAGAGGGAAGAAGAGGCTTGGTAAGGAAATAGAGGAAAAGCAACTGCTCATCACACTTACAGAGAGGCAAACGGCGGTGGAGATGAGGACAGAGAGAGACAAGACTATGAAAGCCAAAAATCACAAATAGAACGAAAGAGAAAAAAATGCCAAGAAGAACATCCACCCGGAGAAATGAAGAGAATGAAAGTTTTATGCTGCAGAGCCATTCTGGGCTTTTCCGGCACAAAATTCTCTAGCTGTTTTTAAGCTCTTTTGCATTTGCCAGCCCATTTGCCAGCCGTTGACATTAAGAGGCATGTTCAGCGGTGCCAACAGCATCTCCTCTTCCTTCTCCTCTTCCTCTTCATCTTCCTCCTCCTCCTTCTCCTTCTTTTCCTCCTCCTTCTCCTCCCATCAGCAAGAAGACAAACCGAGGACAGTCTTTAAATATCGAAATTTCCTCCTTGGGATTTGCCAGCGCCGCGTTGCGCCAAGACTGTCGGAATAAAGGAGGCTGACTATTGTATTATTATTTTATTAATTGGTCATTGGGAAGATTACTGATGAGGAAAAGGGACGCCCGTCACCCTTCCTGCACTAAGATTGAAAAATGAGGCTGAATTGGGGGAAACCCTAAAATGAAGCGAAAGGAATAAGATTGTTAAGGACAGAAAGCCACAGGAGACCCCCACATAGCGCACTTTTATTTTTATTTTTTATTTGAGATTTCTTTTTTTCGTGGTGGTGGGGGAAGTGATTGGGTGGCTGACTGGCTGCGGGAAGCTGCTTCCTTTCCCTTTGGAGATGATTGTGCTATTATTCTTTGCCTTGCTCTGGATGGTGGAAGGAGTCTTTTCCCAGCTTCACTACACGGTGCAGGAGGAGCAGGAACATGGCACTTTTGTGGGGAATATCGCTGAAGATCTGGGCTTGGACATTACAAAACTTTCGGCTCGCGGCTTTCAAACGGCGCCCAACTCTCGGACCCCTTACTTGGACCTCAACCTGGAGACCGGGGTGCTGTACGTGAACGAAAAGATAGACCGCGAGCAAATCTGCAAGCAGAGCCCCTCCTGCGTCCTGCACCTGGAAGTCTTCCTGGAGAACCCCCTGGAGCTATTCCGGGTGGAGATCGAGGTGCTGGACATCAATGACAACCCCCCCTCCTTCCCGGAGCCGGACCTGACCGTGGAGATCTCTGAGAGCGCCACGCCGGGCACCCGCTTCCCCTTGGAGAGCGCATTCGACCCAGACGTGGGCACCAACTCCTTGCGCGACTACGAGATCACCCCCAACAGCTATTTCTCCCTGGACGTGCAGACCCAGGGGGATGGCAACCGATTCGCCGAGCTGGTGCTGGAGAAGCCGCTGGACCGAGAGCAGCAAGCGGTGCACCGCTACGTGCTGACCGCGGTGGACGGGGGAGGAGGGGGAGGAGGAGAAGGAGGCGGCGGCGGTGGGGGAGGGGGCCTGCTCCCCCAGCAGCAGCGCACCGGCACGGCCCTACTCACCATCCGAGTGCTGGACTCCAACGACAATGTGCCCGCCTTCGACCAACCCGTCTACACTGTGTCCCTGCCAGAGAACTCGCCGCCGGGCACGCTAGTGATCCAGCTTAACGCCACAGACCCAGATGAGGGCCAGAATGGCGAGGTCGTGTACTCCTTCAGCAGCCACATTTCGCCCCGGGCGCGGGAGCTCTTCGGACTCTCCCCTCGCACTGGACGGCTAGAGGTGAGCGGCGAGCTGGACTACGAAGAGAGCCCAGTGTACCAAGTGTACGTACAAGCCAAGGACCTGGGCCCCAACGCCGTGCCCGCGCACTGCAAGGTGATCGTGAGAGTGCTGGATGCTAACGACAACGCGCCTGAGATCAGCTTCAGCACCGTGAAGGAGGCGGTGAGCGAGGGCGCGGCGCCCGGCACAGTGGTGGCCTTGTTCAGCGTGACCGACCGCGACTCAGAAGAGAATGGGCAGGTGCAGTGCGAGCTGCTGGGGGATGTGCCGTTCCGCCTCAAGTCTTCCTTCAAAAACTACTATACCATTGTGACCGAGGCTCCTCTGGACCGAGAGGCGGGAGACTCCTACACCCTGACCGTGGTGGCTCGGGACCGGGGAGAGCCTGCGCTCTCCACCAGTAAGTCGATCCAGGTGCAAGTGTCAGATGTGAACGACAACGCACCGCGGTTCAGCCAGCCGGTCTACGACGTGTATGTGACCGAGAACAACGTGCCGGGCGCCTATATCTACGCGGTGAGCGCCACAGACCGTGATGAGGGCGCCAACGCCCAGCTAGCCTACTCTATCCTCGAGTGCCAGATCCAGGGCATGAGCGTCTTCACTTACGTGTCCATCAACTCAGAGAACGGCTACTTGTACGCCCTGCGCTCCTTCGACTACGAACAGCTCAAGGACTTCAGCTTCCAAGTGGAAGCCCGGGACGCGGGCAGCCCCCAGGCGCTGGCTGGCAACGCCACTGTCAACATCCTCATCGTGGATCAGAACGACAACGCCCCTGCCATCGTGGCGCCCCTTCCAGGGCGCAACGGGACTCCGGCACGCGAAGTGCTGCCCCGCTCGGCGGAGCCGGGTTACCTGCTGACCCGCGTGGCCGCGGTGGACGCGGACGACGGCGAGAATGCCCGGCTCACCTACAGCATTGTGCGGGGCAACGAAATGAACCTCTTCCGCATGGACTGGCGCACGGGAGAGCTCCGCACGGCACGCCGGGTGCCGGCCAAGCGCGACCCCCAGCGGCCTTATGAGCTGGTGATCGAGGTGCGCGACCACGGGCAGCCTCCCCTGTCCTCCACCGCCACCCTGGTGGTGCAGCTGGTGGATGGTGCTGTCGAGCCCCAGGGTGGGAGCGGGGGCGGTGGCGGGGGGTCAGGAGAGCACCAGCGCCCCAGCCGCTCCGGCGGCGGGGAGACCTCGCTGGACCTCACCCTCATCCTCATCATCGCGCTGGGCTCGGTGTCCTTCATCTTCCTCCTGGCCATGATAGTGCTTGCTGTGCGTTGCCAAAAAGAGAAGAAGCTCAACATCTACACGTGTCTGGCCAGCGACTGCTGCCTTTGCTGCTGCTGCTGTGGCGGTGGGGGCTCGACCTGCTGCGGCCGCCAAGCCCGGGCGCGCAAGAAGAAACTCAGCAAGTCGGACATCATGCTGGTGCAAAGCTCCAACGTACCCAGTAACCCGGCCCAAGTGCCGGTGGAGGAGTCCGGGGGCTTTGGCTCCCATCACCACAACCAGAATTACTGCTACCAGGTCTGCCTGACCCCTGAGTCCGCCAAGACCGACCTGATGTTCCTTAAGCCCTGCAGCCCTTCGCGGAGTACGGACACTGAGCACAACCCCTGCGGGGCTATCGTCACGGGTTACACAGACCAGCAGCCCGACATCATCTCCAACGGAAGCATTTTGTCCAACGAGGTAAGGCTGAAGCGAAAGGACCACCATCTCTCATCTCCTCCATCTGAAAGCCTCCTCTAGCTCAGCCCTTGTATCTCTGGTGCACTGTGTATTTATATTTAGGATATTAGTTTGTTTGTATTTTTATGGGGACAGGAATGGGGGAATCACCTCTCCTACCCCTTCGTGTGTAACTTAAACTTCGTGTTGTCCCTAATTTTCTGCGCTCCACCCCTTCACGTTTATTTTCATCGCCCCCTCTCCCCCCTTTGGTGCTTTGCCACCTTGGACCTTCCTTCTTTCCTCTGGCATCTTTCCTTTAAAATCCTAAGCCCCCTCTGAGTCCTTTCTCTGCTTAGAAACCTGGGGGTTAAGGGGGAAGTGCGCGGGGGGAGAGGAAAATGGGGTGGAGGGACTTTCTGGCTCTGCCAAAGGTCTTTTTCGCTTTGCATTTGTCCCAGGAGTTAATAAAGTTAACTGTTTTGCTTTGTTTATCAGTGCTTTCAGTCGCGTGTAAAAGTAAGCTATAGATTGTTTAACTTTGCACAGTTGTCTAAACTCGAATGCATGTTTTAGTGAATGAGTTATCAGATCCTTGTCCTCTGAACTCGGGTTCCAGAAAAGCCTTCAGTTCTGCTCTGGACAGCATTTACAGACGCTCTTGAAGCCGAACGCCCACACAGTGTGAATTTGAATGAAGTTGCTTTGGCACAAACCCCTGTAAGCGTAAACTAACGGAAGGCTTAAACAGTTGTTGTCTTAAATACACCTTTTAGCTAATAATCGCCTTCTTGCCACCGTTCTTGACAAATCACTGCTATTGGCTTTCTTCATCAAAGAATTTGCCTTGTCAATTCCGATTTCTTCTTATAAGATGAAGAAGTGGCGAAGTTGAAAGGAGGGAGGGAGCGGGAGAACAGTCGATTTATGTAAAAGAAAGTTTGGACCGGAAAAGGTGTGTGGGTGGTGGAGGCGGGAGGGGACTGCAGAGGCTATTGGGAGGGGAAAAGAATTGGGGCCAGGATGGGAGGGAGGATTATGAACTCCCTTCTTGGCAGGTTATTTAATTTATTTGAGTCTTAGATATTATTAATTGACTTTCATGAATATTTGTACAGCTCATTTGTATCTTAAGCACATTTTGAAAATAAACAACAAAATAATTCCATAAAACATCCAAACTTTTTGCTTATTGAGCGTGCTGTTTTTCTTGTGTCAACCAGTATGCACCTAAACACTTTTTTAGACCACTGAAAGAAAGACTGCAGCATATAACTAGGTTGACTCTAGTAGAGACAACAGTTTATGAGCCCCAGCTATGAGGTCATTTGCATTCTCTCCTTAAAACACATACACACACACACATTTAAAATTGGCCTTTTATTTCTGCAATTTTTTTAACCTTTACTGAAAATCTATATTGCAGTATCTCTACATATCTTCTTGCCTTTAGCCAGCAATCACTAGTCCAAGGTTTTAGGACAGCTTAGAAACTCATCAAAATGTACACAATTACTTAAGCTAGAATTCATTCTGAACATCAAAAGCAGACTGTCAGTTAAACCCTTAGCATTCAAATGCTCTTGATTTATTTATTTTTTTTCTAGACTAAACACCAGCGAGCAGAGCTCAGCTATCTAGTTGACAGACCTCGCCGAGTTAACAGGTATGGACTTTTTTTTCTAGTTTGGTGAATGGACAGTTTACTATCTACTAAAAGTGGGAATTAGGTATATCATTCAATATGAAAATAGAAACCGGATAAAATATTTCCAGTTAGCGCAGAACATAAATATTCATTATGTTGGGTTTCCTAGACAATAAAGTAAAAGTAAAAAATAGGGGTGTATTTCATTTATATATAACTACTAAATGTAGTTGAATAGTTTGTCGGTTTACACTCCTACACTGCTTCTGATAATCTTCCTGTTCCAGGTATATATATACATGCACACACACACACACACACCCCTCTTCTATGAAAATGATATAAACATATGCTTAGTTTCAATCATAAAATCCTGACTAAACTACATGCCTTAAGGACTCAAACTGACTTATTATGTTCAATTTTAGAAAGTTAGGCTTAAGGTTAAGAAAACAAGCTTTGCACAGAAAAGAGACACCTGAGAGCTTGAGGCATCTGCAGCACCATCGGTGACCATGTGGTGGCAGAAGAATGTTTTCTTTGTTTCTTCACCTTTTTTTATTCTAATCTTCACATTTTTGTACTTCTAGTTCTGCATTCCAAGAAGCCGACATGGTAAGCTCTAAGGACAGTGGTCATGGAGACAGTGAACAGGGAGATAGTGATCATGATGCTACCAACCGCGGCCAGTCAGCTGGTAAGTGTGATCGGAGTGCAATGCTGACTTTTATGGTGTTTTTTTTTTTTAAATAAATCCTGAAAGGATGATGTTCTAGGTAATTTTTAATGTTAGTAAATCTACAGAAAAATGATGCCATCCTATGATGATAATTGTACACTCACAGAGGATTGTAAAAATGTAACGTTCCTTTGGAGAATGAAAGTTAGAAATTCATTGTGGCATCTGTTAGAATATGAAACATTCTTCCTTATATAATTTTTTTAATGGAATTATATTGCGTACAAAAAGTTGTGGATTTCTCATTTGGTCCAGTCCTCAGTCTTCAGTCAATTAAGGTATTATTAGACTTGTTTATGGATGAGGTAACTGAGGATAAATGGAATTGACTGACCTGCGCAAAGTCACAGAGGATAAGTGGATGACTGGAGACCAGAATTCAAATTTCTTGCCTTCCAGAGAGACATGCATTTTGCATGCCACCAAATAGTAAATGAGAGAAGGAATGGTGATTAAAAGTCATGAATAGGTTGAAAGCAGGATTCCCAATCCTGAGTTATTAGGCTTCAGGACATTAGTAAGCATTTGATAATGTATATTTTCTGAAGCATCCTAGGTTTCCTCATATTTTCAACAGGATCCGTGACCTGTCAAAAGTTGAACTCTAGGTGTATTTGTATGTGGGCTTACTGTTAGTCACTGATCGGGGTTGTAACGGGATACATAGTTTTTACTTTGTTTTACTTTATTTTACTTTTTCCTATATAAATTTACTCATTGTGTTTCACGGGATCCTGATAACTCTAATTACTAACACTTAAAGAAAACACTTATAAGAAATGAAATATGTACCTTAAAATAATTTAAATCATTTCACAAGGTTTGGGTTTTCTTTCCATTTCATTCACATCCCAACTATGAAGGGTGCTTGTTGGAGATATATATATATATATTTTAACTTTTTCTTTTCCAGTTGAGTTTTGTGTTTATCTGACACATAAAGAAGTGCAAAGGCAAGTTCACTTTTGCAACTTCTGAAAATGCCCATTGTTGGACCATCTCTAGGTCCAAATTCATTCACTTAAGCTTTGAGCTTTATTTGGGTTAGTGGTGTAAGCACAGAGTGAGAGTCCTCCTCGATCCTCGAGAGCCCCCATTCCTGAACACACTCCGTGGACCTCTGAACGGTGCTGAGGCAGTGTGTCAAAGGGCAGTATCCGCCCCATGGTCGCCTGGCAGCGGTGGTGGCTGCAAGCCTCTCACTTGGCTAATCTGTGCTGTGTCTGAGGCTGCATTAGCCTTGGGAAACGCAGGCAGGAGGAGGAGGGAAAAAAGGCTGCTCAAGGGTCTCTTTATATTGCTGCAAGTCATTAATATGCAGACCTAATGAGACTTGAGAACTGCCAAGAATCCCCGGAGGTCCCTGCCCCTTGCGGGCCTTCATGCTAAGTGAACAGAGCATCTATTTAGTGTCTGGGAACCTGACAACAAACCAGATCTTGCCAGAAGTTTATATATGAGTACAAAGTCCCTTTCATTTTTGGCCTATATATGGCATATGATTTATTGTTATCTTTTAAAAGCTGTACACTTAGAATTGCTCATTCCTATTCTATTTTTCAGAGTTTGTAATTTAATAGTCAGCCTTTTAAAACTTTTGAAGCAAAATGTTTAATATTTAAGAAAAAAAAGTTTATCCACGTCTGCTGCATGTTTCTTTGGGTGCATTTTATTTCTTTCCACTCCCCCCCCACTTTGTTTTTTTCTGTAGCACTTCAATCTCAATGAACATTTCAATTAGTTTAGTCCCTCAGACATAATGAGACATAATAGCCTAACTGAAGAAAGAGAAATGAATAAACATCTGCAAAAAGTGCTAAATCTGGAAGATGGATAAGCGATATATTCTTATCAATGAGCCTTCCCAGGAGCTATTTTATTTCACAGGCACTCAGTGTTGCCATTTTGGTAATGTTCCTTTCAAAATATTTGAGATGTCAAAGCATATGAAAGGAAATTTTAAAAGCTAAATTGTGTTCCAGAAAACATTTAAAAGCAAGGCGGTTTTTATTTTTCTTATCAAAATGACATTTTTTTTTCCATCTTTGAGTTCTTAAACATGTGAAAGTATTGCAGAACTAACAATCTGTGTATCCATTTTGTTGGCAGTTACAGGGCAGCCACACTTAATGGGCACAACAATGGCTGTTTTAGAACTGTAATAACACACTTGGATTAAGAAGTAATCATGCCTTTGTGTGCTGAATTGAAGTTGGATTTAATATGTTTTTCTGATTTTGTCATAAAAGTGATTTTGAAGTGGTTACTTTTTAAAGTGTAAAACCCTAAGTGGAGAGAATTAAGATGCATTTACTTAATGAGTTTTTTCAGTCCATTTGTGATGTTGTGTATTACAAACTTCAACACAAAGTACCTAGAATAGTTTCTAAAACTTAATCCTATTTCAAGTAAATAACATCTGCTTTATTTCCTTGCAAAACCAGATACTTAGGACCTTCCAATTTTGCAATATTTAGGAAATATTCTTCATAGCACATCCATTTCCAGGTTTAGGGTATTGAAAATTTTGTGCTAATAAACAAATCCCACTCAGCTAGATTTTGAGTGGGGAAAGCGAGTTTATCAAAGAAAAACAACACTGGGAAGATATAGATTCTGAATCCTCTAGTTTGTACCTTATTTCAGATTATATTAGATACGTTGTCAGGCTTAGCGTGTCACCTGTTTAAACTTCCTAACTTTTTATTTATTCCCACTTTCTTTTTCTATGTTAGTGTTAACTTTGTATTTATTTATTTGGATATGCCTTGTATTTATTCTTCTATGAATAGTTTTCTTTTTTTGTTCTTTCTTCCCCTTCCCCCCCTTGCTTTTCTCCTTTCTAAGCCATTTGCAGTCACCAATCTTGTTCACAGAAGGGCTTTAAACACGGAGGCAGCTGCACAGAGAATCACATAAGCTTTTTCAGTTTTCCACTGCACCTGGCTCCATGTGTGAAATTCTTCGGCTTGACCACTGCTCTGTGGCATTTTCTCTCTATAGTCTTGTCAAGGTGCTTTCCGTTTTTTTCAGGGCACTATTGATGTATTGGTTAGATATGGCAGAAGTCCAAGGAGATGTGGTAAATGCTTGCATAAATCATCACAAGAGGAAAAACTGACTAATCACAGCTTTAACAGCAAAAAAACATATATATCTATTGGACTTAAAAGCAATATATTTTCAGTTTTATAATACCATTAGATTAAAAGGTAGCCTTTTTTCTAGTTTAAATGATACAACTGATACAACATAATTAGTTATATATTCTTAAAGATTTTAATATTACTGGAGGTAGATCTAAGGAGATTATTTAGTTATGAGAAGTTTTTTCCATTTATTAAAGTACTTACCAGTGCATACTAGGATTGATTATGAATTTATTTTTAATAATTGTGTCTTCTTTAAAAATATATTGAAGAAAAGAACCCTAATAAGTGATGATTCAGTTAAGTTACTTGTTATAGTTTATCTGAAAATTTTCAAATTTCTCTTCTTGTAAATTTTTCTTGTAATTGCAAGAGAACTAGTATCTAAATGTGTTTATTTTTTGAATTACCGTGAGATTTATACATGACACATGGTCAACATTTGGCAATAATTTAAAAAATAAAGTGATTTGAATTGTCAGTATTTACAGATTAATAAAGAAAAGTATAGCAGGAAATGCATTAAGCCATTGCCCTACTACTACAATATCAATAAGAGAGTTCCTGGTTTTCATAAAATACAAATCTCCCTTTCCCAACTCCAGTAAGAACTTAGATACTGGCAATCAGTTTCTGGATTTGTAAATAAAGTGAATTTATACCATTGCCTCCATAAGCAAAAGCTTTCGGTTAAGGTTTCTGGTGAAAATGTGAGCTACAACTTGATAATGTGTAGAGATTTACAATTGGAAAAAAATATAAGACAAAATATTGAGAGAACATGGAGAAAATACAAGCATTTTAAAAGATGATAGGTAGGGAGAACATTTTGATGTGCATGTTTTGATTTTTTTCATGAGTGAATTATGTTGTTAAATCTCTGTTCCCAAACCACATTTTCCAAAAAATTATAGCAATTTTTGTGGTTACAGTTAACATCTCTAATTTCTCCAGTGTTAAGTAATTACAGGAAGACTTGAAATTTCCTCAAAAAGTTGTGTTGATTTTTTAAAAACTAATATATCATATTTTGAAAAGAAAATTTTTTTTCTGAAGGCTTAATGCATGAGGAAAAAATGTACACATAATTTTACATTATTATATTCGTCAGAAAACAGCACAAATTGAATACAGTTACATTTCTGAAATCACAGTTTGTTCTCAGCGGTAATATCACTGCCTCTGACTATAAAGGACAAGTTACTTGCTGGTTAAAAAAGATGTATTTTAAAATTTGTCTAAATATATCTTTGCATAACAGGCAGTCTATCACTTCAGCTGTCATGCTTTGTAGAACAGACCATTTCTGAGAAGTAGAAAAACATAAATAACTAGGATAAGAAATTTCAAATAAAATATATATGTTGAAATGTTTCTTGGAAATTACCAAAACTTCAGAACTCAGGCTCGGGCCTGTATTTTCCTGCTATACAAAATCCCACAGGTTTTAAAGTAAGGGCATTTGAATAAAACAAAAAATGCAGTTAAGTTTATTTTTTCTTGACCCTTGGCTTTCAACTGATAAAAAATTCCAAGAGCAGTGTAAAAGGTATGCATTTTAAAATGCCCCATGGACTGAAATAACCTGGCATTCTTGTCCCTCGTGCAGTCATTTACCATCACAAAACATAAGTATGCCTCTGTTTATTTGGTCATTAAAATCATATATGTAATGAGACTAGTGATAAATGAAAAAAATAAAATAATGTTAGTCTTTCAAAGGCTCCCTAAGGTGAGGACCGGTAACGGGCAAAGTTTATTTGGTTCTCAAACTATATATCTATCTGCATTCTTTTTTACTGAAGTATAGTCAGTTTACAATGTTGTCTCAATTTCTGATGTACAGCATAATGCTTCACTCATATGTATACATACATATATTCATTTTCATATTATTTTTCAAACTATATCTCTTAAAGAAGTGAAAAAACATTTTCAACAAATATTTCTAAAATTTACTTGAAATTTATTTATATGCTATGTATGTGATTAAAAAAGAATTTTGTTTCTATGTCTGATACTTTCCTTATGAGAAATTAGTACACTTGTTTTGCCCATAAACCTGGTGAAACACAATCACGCACAACGCGCGCCATCCTGCCTTTCACTCTAGTTATATAAAGCTATGTTGTCACGACGAGGACCCTACTTTAAAAGGAGTAGCTCATGAATTTATTAAGAACATTACTTACAAGTGTTTTTTTCCCTTTTAGGCGAGTAACAGTGTTCTTGCAACAACAAAATCTTTATCATATTTCTCACTTTTCTTGTTATGCGCATGACATATTTTTGTGCAGGTTCTCAAGTCATGAGAACTTTATTTCATCATCTAAAGGAATATTAACTAGCCTTTAATAAGTGAAAGACACCAAAAACCAAATACTTGAAGAGAAAAAATAATGAGCACAATGGAACATAAACTACTCATATAAACAAGCTCTACTAAAAGTAGCTCTTAACATAATCAAGCATCTTAATGAGTAGAGACTAGTTTACTAAAATTTTTCTGTGTGTGATGATCATGTTCAACATTATAAGAATACTTAGGTACAGAGCTCAAAAAGCTGTAAAAAGGTTACTAATGGTCTCATGAGCATTAAAAAATAGTATATTTGAAAGGGTTATATCAGTTGTGTGATAAAAAATGTATTAATTCCAAATTTTGCATTAGTACCCATCTTTATGAGGATCCAATAATATAATTCTGCCTTAATATTTGAATTTTTATGAACTTCATATTTAATATGACATGAATTTATGTTTGGAATAAATAATTGCTCATAATTTACTCTTAACGGTAATTCCGTCTATCAAAAAGACCTTTTATTTCTCATCACACTATAAACAGGGAGCATTTAGAGTACAGTGTGTCAAAATACAGATCTCTGATTCTACAGCTTCTTCCTGCCTCGTATGTCAGTGTGTGTAAGGGACGTTCTCCTTCCCTTCCTCTTTTTTTTTTTTTTTTTAATCCTATCTCCTTGCAGGAAGAGGATAACTGAACTTCTCTGGTGTTCAAAGAAGAACTGACATGTTTTACATGCTGTTCTTAATCTGGTTCTTTATCCTGGCTTCAGCTCGGGTTGACCTTCCTCAACAGTTCACTGTTAGTCATTTATTTCCAGGCTTATGCATGACAATTATCAGTGGAATGTTGCAATAGCAGTCAGACTTGGCATCATATATAGTTTAACTTAAAATAAAAAGTCATTATAAAGTGAGATAAATATATGATAAGAAGCTTGGTGTTATTTCTTTAACCATAATTTATGTAATTAACTCTTCTTAACTCCTTGAGAATAATCTAGAGGGTTAATAATTGTTAATATTTGTGAAAAATAATTATTTTATGTATGAAGATAGCAAAATGTACACACAAAAAAGTATATTAGTAGGTGACAGAAAGCTGGAATCCCATCAGGAATTTACAAACTAAAACTTGCTCAAGAGCTCAAATCACTCATGATACTTATAGAAGAAACAATCAAGGGTGTTCATTACATAAACATGACTGTCTGTTGGTTAAAAGAAATAATTCCTGGTTTTTCCACACTAAGCATGCATTTGAGAGGTTTTTACGTACAGACAAATTACACTTTAGTTATTTCAAATTGATCCTATTTTAAAGCATATTTAATAAATAGAAAAATGTTAAAATGTGATTTTGGTTTATGTACTTATTTTCCCACATATTGCTAATTATCAGAATGAATAACAAGTAGTGTTCTAGAGTGCTCAAAAATTGTGATGCTTTGCTTAAGAGACTGAATGAGATTTCTTGAGCCATAAACATCGTATTTAATAGTCTTGTCAATCTATGGGAGACAGTGAAACGTGAAAATGTCATTTGAAATCGTGGTATTCTGAGATTAGTAAGCAAACAGGTCTGTGTTGTCTAGGACAAGTGTTTTCCGATATAGAACAAGTAATAAGGTATTTGTCAATAGCCTCTGCAGCTGACTCATACTGCACTTGGTTACCTTGGTTTCACTAATTACAGTCATTTGTCCTGGGTTTGTCTAAGGCGGTAAATGATAAGTGGTGTGTAGTAATACGGGCTACCAGAGTGTCACTGAGAAATCACTTTTAGGAAGTCATTTTTCCAGGAACCTCAGAAAGCATGCTCTTGGCCACTCATGAAATCTTGTTTTATTGTTATTTACTGGTTTATCACTATGTATGCCATATGTCGGTTGAATATCACTTTTTGCTTCCTGTCCAGATTTTATAATCTAAATATCATTACTAGTGCTTCACGTATTTCTTCCATTTTTGTCTCTAAGAAAAAAAATATCGATGACATCATCATTGGAGACCATGGATTGAGAAAGCTTTCCACTTGGGTTTTTTCCTCTGTTAAGAACTTCACCAGAGATTTTAAAAAATATTCATTCTATTTCTACTCACTATTTTCTAGTTATTTAAATAATTTAGAGCCAACTTTTTGTCCATATACTCTGAGTAGTTTAGAAACATCTATCTCAGAGAGCTCTTTGGCAAGAGTCTTAACCCTTGACAAAATAATACAGAGAGATTTTTGGCTCCTGTCAGGTTAAGACGAGAAAAATTTGTTAAGATACCCTCACCCATTACTTTCCATGCTGCCTGTAATTTTTCACTTCTAAGCAGCTGGTGGTGTTGTGAAGCCCACATCTGCAGTCTCTCTTTTCCCTGCTCCCAGGTATGGATCTCTTCTCCAACTGCACCGAGGAATGTAAAGCGCTGGGCCACTCAGATCGGTGCTGGATGCCTTCTTTTGTCCCTTCTGACGGACGCCAGGCTGCTGATTACCGTAGCAATCTGCATGTTCCTGGTATGGACTCTGTTCCAGACACTGAGGTGTTTGAAACTCCAGAAGCCCAGCCCGGGACAGAGAGGTCCTTCTCCACCTTCGGCAAAGAGAAGGCCCTTCACAGCACTCTGGAGAGGAAGGAGCTGGATGGACTGCTGTCTAATACACGAGCGCCTTACAAACCACCATATTTGAGTAAGTATTACATAAAAGGCTGTATCAAAGTATTCCCTTTCAGGAAGTAACGTTCAACATGCCATTCTTCTTTGTGAAAATAGAGGAGTTCAGGTTGTTCTCAGAAACAAGGATAAGAGTGACTCGTGGACGCAGGCAGCACTTGACAATAGAAAAATGAATATGCTTAACAGGAAGTCAGGCTCCTGTGTTAGGACATGGTTGTTGGCAACAATCAAACATAACTTCTGATGCTGTGGAAAACATTTTTTAAATGATCTTTCTGTTTCCTTTGAATGCTGCTCACCTGCTTACTTGATTTCCATGTGTTTTGAAGGGCTTATTTAAGGTGGAAAAACATCTCGTGGAAAAACATCTCTTGACACTTGAGTCATTGAGAGTTCTCATTTTCTTATCGATACCAGCATTATGGCTTAATCATCCTTTTTCTATAATGACATAAAACACGTTAGGCTAAATTCAGAAATCAGTGCAGCCGTTACTTTGCTGGTTCAATGTAATTTAGTGATATGTTGGCATGGATTCTAATGTTTTATCAGAATCAGAGGAACTTCGTGATGGAAGCATATCAATATAGCAATATTATTCAATTATTTAAAATAATAGGATCTTCTAACACTGAGACATTAAGAATTGTACTCAGCTCCTTCGATATTGGGACCATAGCCTCTAAGTGGATTATTTTATACAACCGATCTGAAAAGCAAAAATACTTTGAGATTCTTTAGTAGATTGGAGATTCCTTTGAGGATCTTGGTAATGAAATTATTCCATTTACTCTCTGCTATATGGAAGCCTTTTCCTTTTAGTTAATGGATAAATACCACTGATGATTCAGTATTTTGGTCAAACTACATAAACTAGCATTTGATAAGGATGAAACCTGTAACAATTTAATCCAAAGACAATTTTTAGCTTGCATAGCAAATCCAGTCTACATGATGTTTCCTTACTTTCATCTTCTAGTGCAAAGAAAGCAAAAAACAAAAACGGAACCATAAGTTAGAAACAAAAATGAGACAGATTGCAGATGTATCATTTCTATTATGACTTATGAAGTGGGAAGGAAAAAAAAACTTAAGCGGAAGAAAAAAACTAGAAGAACATTTACTGTAGCCCTTACATGTAAATGTGAAAGGCGTGGGCTGAACACACTGAGGATGTGACTCCTACGTTGGACACTGATAATAAGAGTAAACAAGTGTCATATGGTTAGAGTGGATCTGTCACTGGATACATACATTGTGATGGCAGCAATGATTGAATGGTGTTTTTGGAAAGATTGTGTTCAGCTTTTCAAATTATTCAGAAATGCCATTACCCCAGCATGATATAGTATATTAGTGTTTCAGAACCAAATAATTATGCCTCTCTATAAATTATCAATATTTGTTCTGCTTTGTTTTTTTAAGTTATAAAATTTGAGAACACAAACGCTTAAGGAAAGTGTTGAAATTACCATAATAACTAAATGTAATTTGGATGCTAAGGTCCTGTTTAACTGACACATCCACAGACACGAGTGATTTAAAGTAGCCTAAAATCAAATTTTAATAAATAGGAACTGTGATTCAGTCTTTGTCCCTCAAACTAAATTCTGGATTTTAAGTTTAATTATTATCATAAACCAAGCTTTTCCAAATTCTAAACAGCATACTCTCACTAGTGTTTCACTTAAAGTAAGAATGTATGTTATAGAAATATATTATCAATAACTTCAAGGCAAAGATTCAAAGTACATACGATTCAGAGTAATTCAAATATGTATTTCTAGATAACTACAAATATTTGCTGTTAGCATATATTAACTGGTAAGTCTATATCAAAGATGATGAAAAATCAATTCACCCTCTTTAACTCTTAGTGAGTACTAATCTTGATGAAGTTTCACTTACACTGGAGAACTGAAATTTTGAACAAATTTTTTTCTCTACTGACTAGTTTTTCTTTTTAATTTTAAAAATCATGGTAATAATTTTTGTTAATAAAAATATTAATGCTGCATATATTTTAATGTCAATTTTTCTACTTTTTAAGAATCTGGTATTTTCATTTAGATCCCTGATTGAGATTATGAAATAAGTCATCAGTTATATGTTTGCTACAAATCAAAGAATGCAGCTATTATTTTACCAAAAAAATTAAGGTTTATTTGCATATTATTCAGATGTATATTATAATTAATTAATTTTGAATAACAATTTATGTTTTCTGTTTTAGCCAGCTCACACTGCTCAAAATTCAGGGTTTGGGATAAAGTGGACTGGGACGAAAAAGAAGCAGAAAAATAGCTATTTTGTTGTTTTTACTGACACTCACCTTAGTTCTTCATATAATTTTAATCATGTCTAAATTTTTTTTAATGTCTAGTGTTCGATGTCATCTTTAACTCACACAGTTATCTTTAGAATTACTTTATGGCTCTGATTTAATAGGCATAGTCAATTTGATGGTTAATCTAACCGTACAAACTATAAACCAAAACAATCCATTCCTATTTTGTCCCCCAAATTCATATGGTGATAGTTGTTAATACGTGTATCATTTATCATCAGGAATAGAAATATTCTTATCTTCTAAATGGAAAAGCATGTCCCTTATGTAATTAAAGAAGCTAAAAATTAGCACTAATTACTTGTTTAAAAATCAGAATGTTTAAACAATTATTGAGGTAGCAGTTTTACTTTTGCTAAACATACATTTAGTTTTTTTAATGAACACAATGTACATTTTCATGTTAAGAAAAGTAAGCAGCTGTATGTTTCTTTTTGTAAAGCCTTAAAAAAGCTTAATGCGGCTACCACTGTCATTTACAACATGATGACAGGGAAATGGGGATCCATTTAATAATAATACAAATGAGATCATTATCTATACCTAACAACTTTCCATTTCTATACCTCTGATGGCTAAAGTTAAAATTAAAAATGGCAAGAAACCAACTTTTACACAAAAATATGTGTATGCATGTTAAAAAATGTACTTTGTGTTTCTTTAAAAATGCCTACATACAATTATATTTTCTCTTTTATATAATTTATATGGAAGGATCCATGAAGAGTATACATGATGCATTTAATGAAATGGAACTTATTTGTTGAATCAGGAGTAATTTTGAACATATCAATTAATACTTGCCTCATTAGTCATAAGCTCTTTATAAGGATGCCTCATCTTATTTTTGTTATAATGTTGCAGATTTCTAATACTCTGATAATAACCAAAAGGATACACTGAAAGTTTGAAGAAATAATTTTAAACATGTAGAATATGATCATATAGTCAACATACAGTATTTAGATTTATCTTAAAATGTTAATAAATTTTAGCTTAGCTTTTCCTGTAATTTTTATCAGAGTGATAAAAAATATTAAAGTATCACTTTAACTTGTAATAAATAGCATTTCATTTTAACAGTTATTAAAATGAAGCAGAAAAATCATTGGGAGTTTAAAAAGAATGTTATATTTTTTCATATGGAATTCAAAAATTTTTAATTATAGACATCTTATTTAAAATTATTTAGCTTTTCAATGGGCACAGTTCAGTTATGCACAAAACAATCTGGATAGCCTGAGAAAATAAGAAACATAAAAACAATTTAGGTTTAAGAATAAAACTGGTTGAAGTTACATTATTAATCTAATTTAGAAAAGCCCAATAGTTAAAACGATACCTTTAATACTAGTTTAGTAATCATTTTTGCTTATGATTTTGGCTTTATATTTTGAATATCATTTCTTTAGATTTTTTTGTCTGTAAACAGGGATATCTTTCAGTTCAAATCAGTCAAAACAATACCGTTACTTAGAAGTATAAGGATTTGTTATCTTGAAACCTGTTGATTTCTTGTCAAAAACCTAATCGTTCCCTAAAAACTGAAGATAATGGCAAGATAAATGGCCAACGAAATTTCATCTAAAATGTATTTGTAAAATCTTTCATTTGTTTAAAGAATCAGACAATAATAAATTATATTGAATAAAGTGAAAAAACTACATTGACATGATGATTTTTTAAATCCTAAATCCATGAAATTTGCTACATGTATACCATACAATGTTTAGACTAGTCCGAATATGTCAAAAAAATCACTCTTGCTGTCTCCTGACATAACTTTGTTTTTGCCTACTTTTGAGCCCTTTTGAAATTTCAACACAACTCACCCATATCATAACATAAGAAAGGGTGTCAGAACTTTGAAACATTGCATTTAAAATATTAATGACACTTCACCTAAACTTCTTTTCAGTAACTCGCATTTTAGGAAAAAATTTTTGGACATCTGTATTATTTCTACTGAGTACTTCAAGTTTCAATTTGATTGAAATTAAGAGTGTGTTCTGTTTAGTCACATCTCTTCCAGCCCCTTCACTATCTTAGCCTGCCTTTGTGAGTTTTCCTAATTTGTTGAAGTCAGTACAGTAAAGGAGCATATAGAGAATCCACAATAAAATGGCTTTTCTTATTGGTACAGAGTACCCTCATATTTCCATATCCCTTGTGGTGGTTTCTCTGGGATTTGTATATTCCTCTAATGTCATAAACATAGCATCACTTTATCAAATGTTAAATTCTACAAAAAAATATTTTAATATATGGCCTTTTAAGCATTTTTTTCTCATAGGTCCATACGTTACTAAATGAATGGACATTTTTTTCAGGATTTTTTTCTTTTTTAGTACATATGTTAGTTTCAGTTCACTTTTTCTCCAATTTGTGCTACTTAAGGAAAAAAAAATCCTACTTTTGAGATTTTTGTTTTCTCATTTTAGAAGAGAACGTCCAGATTTGTGAGCCTAACTAATTTTCTTACTTTTTTAGTTTATCTCTTTGTGACAAATCTCTGGTCTTTAAATCGCACTAGTCCTTCTATTTTTCCTTTACATCCTTTTATTCTGTAATTAATAGTTAATCTCTTATAATTAAAATAGTTTACAGACTCAACTGTGTGAGCAGGAAACAAATGATAACTCAGGATCAGAAGAAACCCAAGCCCA